ATTACATGATAGATCAATCAATCAACATCAACTAATCAATCATCTTTGGGTGCCAGATGGTACCAGCCGCACACACGCTGCACTCGTCGCACGCGCCGTGTGGGAGAGACACGAACTCTAAATCATCCCAGCTGCCATGCGATGTGCCACAGTGTGTTCAGCGCAACACGGAGTCTTCCAATGGACCATTAAAAGAATGGTTGACCTGGTTTTGTAGTGTAAACTTCTGATTAGTAAAACAATGCTGTTCGGGATTCACGTGCTTTGAAGCCCGGGGAAAAGGTGCATTTTGAGAGTCAGGGTCTGTTGGCGTCAAGATTCACCCTGAGGGTCAGCCCACCATTTTCAAACTAGCTTGTACCATGTTCGATCAAGGGCCTGCTCTTCACTTGCCTGGTATGTTCTATGAATTCTACCCACAGGTCAAACAAATCACCAATTAGGCAAGCCACCCGTAATGGATGGCGATATCAAACACAGTAAAATCAACCATCTATTGGGACTGTAACAAGATTGACCGTCCCACTGTCGATTGACACGCCCAGCACAGCGACAGAACGCGGATCGCGTTTCTCGCGTTCAAACGGAGATCTTGGTCGAGAAGTCGTCGATGAAGGCGTCAGCCACATCCTTGGACAATGAAGCAAATGCACCCAAACATTGAATGCAAACCAGGAGCCTAAGCTGCCTAAGCTTCAATGTCTAACCACTTGGAAGATGTTTTTATCATGTTCTCTACCGACAAAATATACACCCCAAACGCCTTCTAGGAAGGTATGGGGATCTCGAGTATGGACCTATGCAGTGAATATTGAAAACTGTATGGTACATCCGTTTTACACCCGTGAAGAACTCTTTGGTATCCATGCCCTTGGAGAAGTGTCATGGGATGTCAACCAACTCTAGGGGTTGAATATGTTGTCCAAGAATTATGTCCATGAACTGCACAAAAATGCAGCCTAGATACTACTAATATATATATATATGACATTATAGGACTATATTATCTTATATATAGCTCTAGTCTTTGCAAGTGCTAATTTAGGCAAAGCCCACACCCGAATCAAACAAATCCATTGGGGGACACAGAGTCAAAGACCGTGTCAAAGCACAACGGAACGCTGGAACGCCGCTTTGAAGCACAGCCGGAACGCCGGTACGGAGGCGAAGATCCCCTGTCATAGATCGTTCGTTGACGTCGCATGTCGCACGAACACGTGGAAACCGTGGTCCTCCGGTCATCGGTTTTTGGGGATCACTGTTGATCACATCGGTTCTTCGGGCCTGCGAGTTGAAGGGGAAAACACGAAGATCCACAGGTTCCAGGTCACACCAAATGATCGTGGAACGGAGCCGGAGCTTTAAACATCACGGTGAACCGAACGTGCCAGCGAAATGTGGCGACCGAGACCGGTGGTTTTGGGTGCGATGACCTGGAGCCTCACAACGGAGGCTGTCCCGGAACGGGGAAGCATTTTCAACGATTTGCCAGGGGATTCACCCCACTCGGGAGCTGTACCAACATCACCTGATCTGCAAGAACTCGAAGTTTGGAGGTTTCAACATGTATAGCGGTGCCTTCCCTGAGCGATATCAGGTTTTGGACAGTATAAAGGGTGGAGACACTCCGCTCCGCTCCGCAGCCCGAGTACTCGGGCTCCAGTCGCACTGAACTCGCTTTGGTTCGGTGCGACTGGGGGGGGGGGGTGCGTTTGGAGGGTCCTGTCATACCTTCTTTTCGGAGGTACGGCTGGAACCATGGTTGACTCTTTTGGGTCAGTCTGGGCTGAGCCCTGACCACCGCTCCTGTTCCAACGGACACTGGACTGGAGGCTGGTGAACACATCACCGGGGTGGCAGTGGATCCAATAGGCCCTCGAGAGTTCTCGTACCATGAATCGAATAGGCTTTGCCGAAGAAGCAATATGCTTTACTAAGGATTTTACACAAAACCAGGTTGTTCCGGATTTTGTTCATACCTGGAAAACCTGGTGTACCTTTTAAATAGTACACTGCTCCAAGTGCACGGTTTTCTGTATTTCCTAACTTGGCTACTGATGCACAAACACTTTGCACATAGCCCAATCCAAAGAAGTGTATACCAAAGAGGCCAACATCACTGGGACAACTTGCATGCGTCATCAACCACCACCAAAATATGAACACAACAACTCCGCCAATAGCAACATTTGTTCATGTTGCCATTCATGTGGGAAGACCTCTCATGTGCCCTCCTTGGGTGTCACCTCAACAAACCTGAATCGCACCCTGCATGTCAATGTCTTTTCTGACTGCGCTTGCCAAAGTGTCCGTGGTGGGCCTACCAATGAGTGAACAACGCAACCCGGTAGCGGTTCAGCGTCCTCTCATGAACCGTTCTGCTGCTAACGACCTGAGACCTGGAGCAGATTTGCCCGACCAAATCCTCGTCCATTTGCGTGCTGAAGGTAAGAGGCGACAAGGAAGTAATTCCGGCACGCTTCTGAACTTCCAGTTCAAAAACAAGCTCAGCAAACATATGATACTTTGGCTGCAACTTCCACCTGCACATATCGAAAGAGTACGCAAGACGCGCGCACGTCATGAACTCAGCCATGAAAGCCCGCCCAGATTGAATTAGGATGTCACGCTCACGATCGTCCAGCCAAAGCGCTCCATGGTATACAGTTCTCATGAACAAGTTGGCATTCTGAAGCAGGCCAGCCATGGACACAAAATATTCACGCACTTTGTCTTCCAGTGCTGGAATCTCTCCAGCAAGCCTTTGTTCCAAGTAAGCAAGGATCGACACTGTGTCTGCTCCTTTGAACCAGTTCCTGAGTCCAAACCACTGTCTCAGGGAAGATGACCAAATGAATGAAACCATAAACACATGGTTGGACAATTTTAATGTAGAAACATTCAAGGAACCCTGCAGGAAATGCACTGGAATTCGCATAGCCCACGATAGTCCGCGTGAGGCTTTGCAAATGCAACTGCAGCGACTCAGCGCGACAGAATGCCTTCAGATCGCTGTAGATAAGCTCAAGGCACTTCTCAACACTCTCATTTTCGTAGACAAAGTCGACCAAGGCCAACTCAGTCAACGGCTATAAGATCACTTTTCTTGAAAAACTATTAACCAAACAGCACACCAACGAACATCCAAAAACGTTGCCCTGTTTGCAGCGAAGATGCGACTGCATTCGCCCCTGCATCGGCCATGACCCCCTTATGGCATGTGTGAAACAAGTCAATGCGAAAAAACAGATGCTTGTAGGCGTCCCCAAGAGCCAGATTGCTCACAATGCCTGGCTCACGCTGCCATGGCATCGGTAACTCAGAGCGCATCTTGGTCATGTTGCCGAAGGAAACATCATGCCAAGCATTTGAAGGCATACCACCTTTACACAAGTGACAAATACCATGTCCACCCTCTTTCGTCGGGGTATCACGAAGATGATGGCGATTTAGCTGCCCGATCTTCACAAGCGCCGGCCAATCGCCTTTGAATGCGATGGGGACAAGCCAGATCCTCTGAAGGGCTCCCTCAAAGTGCACATCCAACCCTTGCTCAAAGAGCATGCGAAGTTCAGTGGCAAGATGGTCCACAAGCCGTAGAAGCGGCTTGGGGTTGGCCTCCTTCTTGCCCTTCTTCCCACTGTAGACATGCGCCATCATGACACTGTAAACCAATCGGGTGCAAAGTGATTTGCCAACAAAATTGACACCAGGCGAATCTTGATCAGCTTTACGCTTCCTTGTCCCATGCCCCATGCACACTTGGGTCTGTAGAACCAGCATCCCTCGTTTCTTTTGAGAGGTACCTTCATCTGCATGTATGCAAATAGGCACACATCGTCCTAAGTGTGACCCATGCAGCTCGAATACAGGATGCATTGGTTGTTGACCACGCCACTTGCTCCAAAAGTCATGGTACTGTTTTGAGGTGTTGCCCATGAAGAACCAAGAATTCATTTTGCCATTCCTGTCCAGGCACTGGATGGTATCACTCAATCTCAGAGTGGGGTGGGAGCAAGTCAATCCCACGTCAACATCAGTAATTGGGATGTCAGCGGTTAGGTTGAATGCCTGAAACTTGTTCGACATCTCACACTCATGACCCGTCTGCGAAAGACGGGAAGCCATTTGCAAAAACCTTGCGCTTGGTAATCGTGCAGAATCAGTTGAAGATTTGCTCACCTCTTCCCAGAAGGCTGCAGCAATGGTGCAAGCATGTTTTTCACTTACCTCGGAAACTCTTCCCACGCCAAACTCATTTTTTGCAGGATATCTATATACATATATAGCACATGTAGAAACAATAATGAACAATCACCATAAAGCAGGTCGATCCTTGAAAAAGACACTCCAGAAGCTATGGCAGATGCAATCGCTTTTGCTGCTGGGCCAGTGGGAGTTGGAAGCCGCGCTGCGAAGTGGCTCGGTTCGGGTTTGGCACCTGCGCAGGGTAAAGATTGGGAGCCAGCAGTCGTTGGTTGGCTGGTGACCACGGTGACCACGGTCCTACAGGTTGCCGGCTGCCATTTTGCACCCCATCGCAACACTTCACAACCACTGTGGGTTGCCAGAAATCACAATGATGAACATCGCATCACTTGAGTATACCCAAAACGGCCCATAATGGAAGTGTGGCTTGAAGATATCATAAGATAGCACTGAACAAAGCGCATGTGCATGAGTGTATGTGTGGTTTTTGAAACAGATGTCTTGGACTGGACTGTGGAGCGACTTACACCTTACAACCACCTCCCTGGGCCCTGCTACAGCCTTCAAACATCACACGTATGTGACAACGACACGTGTGAATTTCTATAGTGCAAAGACTGCTGTTATATAGCCATGGGGATTCAGGTTGCACTCACTTCAAAGGCAACCGTCGAGGCCATCCAAATTATGACCCAGGTCACGAATGTCTTGGAAACAGAATGCCTTTCTACAACTTCCATGCAGCCTTTACGAGTGCACTCTAGGGCCCACAACAACACATGACTCCGGGCTTACTTGCGAGCTCGTTTGGGTTTCGACTTCGTCGAATCGGCTTCCAGAGCTTCTTGATCCCGCTTTGCCCTCTTTCGAGGCTCAGCGCTAGCTTTGGCGGCAGCCTTTGCCGCTTTGTTTTTCGCCGACGCTGCCTTCTCCTTCGGGACAGGCTTGGTGCGAAGCAGGGTCCTGCAGACGGTAGAAATCAAAAAGCAAAAATACGATTCGAAAGATTCCAGAAGCAATCACACTCACGCATCATACGCAGTAAATTGTCAAGAGAGTATTAAGCACGATACTTTCTCAGTTTGACCTCTTCCATCAAAGCTCGGGAAGACCTTCGCAATATTTTGGGATCTGGTAATGTTCATGCGATGGTATGCGTTCATAAATGCAAAGGTCAAGTGAGGGCCAGGCTCCATCTCAATGCTTCCCACGAGCGTCTTGAGCGCATCAATTTTCCTAACATTTGCAGGACCACATGTTTGAGGGTGACACAGCCCACTACTTTTGTAAAATTCAAACCCTGATCTCTGAAGCTAAGTTTCTCCTTGGCGGGGTCAAGACAACACACACTCTGGGCATCAAAATAAGATTTGAGATCAGCCAATTCGTCATGGAGTGAGACCAGCTTCGATTTGAAGCCAGCAATCTTCTCACCACTCCTTATCTGACAGCTTGGTTGCTTGGACTGGTGGGGCGGGCCAAAATGAACTATCCGCAACACACATTATACAGGTAAGGTTCTGCTTCGCTTCAGGAGTATTCAAGTTGTTCAGCTTCTCCAAAAGTGTCTCCATTTTGGATTGGGTCTTCAACAGGTTGCCCATAACGGTACTCACGTTATCCACCGCCTCACATGTATTAGAGCGATCGAGTTGGAATGGGTTGGAGTATGCTCAATGAAACTGCATATAAACATTCCCAAGCCATGTATGCTACTGCCTCAAGCGCGCTTTCTAATTCCAAAGGTTTGCCGCCGGGGCCCACGGTGGTCCTAGCATCATCCTGATCCTCATCCTCTAACCCATTCTCATCTTCCTCCTCCTCTTCAGGCACACCGGGTGGCATCACTGGCTGAATGCCAAGATCAAAGGTGGCCGCTTGGCCCTCGACGCAAGTCCGATCTGTCAGGCTCTCTTCATGCTCGTTATCGAAGCTCCCAGTGGTCTCAACATCAACCCAATACTCTTTCACGTTACTCTCGTACTTGTCCCGCCTGCCAAGGGATGCCACTCATAGTTTTAACTCCACAAATATTGAAAGCAAACAATGCTTATAGACCAACACTGTTTGTGCATCAAGCAACCCACGAGAACGCTGTAAAACAAAATACTATATATATATATAACTGCGTTTGGAACAACAAACCCCTCCTGACATGGGTTTTGACCCGCGATGGGTGGGTACAGTATTGCACTGCCTTTGCAATTCGTGTCCTCAGAAACCATGAGCTTCCCCAAAAAGGATTCTCATGAGGGACCATGCATGACCATGCATATATATATATATATATGTGAAAGGATTACACTGAGGTTCTGACGCACTCCATCCAAGTTTTTTCTTCATGTTTTCCTTGGTGTAGAACCCCGAGTCTACATGGATCTTGGTTTTGCGGCTCCGACGCTGCATATGCTCGATGTGTTTCTTGAACGCCTCCTGCATGCATCGCAAAAAAGTTAAGACCAACAACCCATCGTTCAAAGTTGTTCACATGCACACTGACCCAAAAGAGCGTGACCAAGCCCGATCCTTATCCCCATTGACACTGGCCAACACATCCAATAGAGCCTTCCGCTGTGATCCCCCTGCTAGCCACTTCTTGTAGATGTCCTGACTCACCTCAAGCTTACCCGAACCCCTTTTGGGAGTGCAGACCCGCCGAAGAGCAGATTCCAACTTGCGGCTCTTCTTCTCCGACGAGGGGTCGTCATCGTGAGCATTCTCCTGATGCAAAACATGCCGACATACATGCTGTCAAGCATCCGCTATAGACCTTTGCAGGCACATGTGTTTTGTCAGTTCATAGCAGCCAGGATTGCGTTTTGTATACAATAGACTCAATGCCCCACTCGAATCGAAATAACAGAGCCTCCGCTTCAGCACGTGGTTCTCCACCAGTGACCTGACAAACATGCAGAGCCACAAAACCTCCAAGTGTTTCAAAATGCTTGAATTAAGGTGTGTATACATGGTCAACTCCACCCCTTAAGAAGAGTATATATACTCATTGATGATGGGATGTGATGTCAGTGGGTTCACCTTCAAGTGCATTCCCAGCCTCCTCCGTTGTAGTCTTGACAGCCGCCTCAGACTCCACGTTGCCCGGGTCCTGCCAGAGTCCGACAAGATGCAAAGAGAGCACAAATTTGAACATGCAGTAAGGCCCCCATCAGCCAGATCACGCGCCGCGCGCGCGCGCCGATACTAGTAGTTATGAAGCCTGAAAATGGCGCGCGCGCGGCGCGTCTAGCCAATAAGTCTTTTTGAATATATGTTTGATGACATCCTATACCAACAAAGAGATCCAACGAGCTATAGGCGGTCCTTGGGAGTCAGAACCTCAACTGTCTCGGGAATCTCATCGCCACTCTGCCGGACAGAAGGCGTACCTGATCCAACCTTGGACGGACCTGCTTCAGGGGCAGAGGGATGGTCATAGCGAACTGTGTCCTGAGTCTGAAAGTTGGGCAGTTCGCCCTTTCCCTTTCCTTCACCCTCGGGTGTAAACAAAGCTCGCTTTGCCTGCGGCGTAGTTGAGGTGCTGGCATTTTGCATTGCCTTCAGCTCGCCTTTTGCAGCCTTTGTCTCAGAGACCCCAGGCGGTGTGGGACAGACACTTAAACTGCGGACACCGCCAACATTTCAACTCCGGACTAAATCATGCAACTTGGGAACATGGATCAGGTCATCAAAGCTGAGGCTCTGATTGCGAGTATGTTGCTCCAAAAGGTATGAGTTCCCACGAAGCAGCGTGCTCGCAGACCATTGGCGGGAAAGCAACGTTTTGGGGGAACCTTCGGTGGCCATGGTGGCTGTGCTCACAGCTATCACTGCAAACCAAAAAGCCTGAACACCAGGAAGTGAAAGATGTCAAGGGGTTGCGATGGAACAACATGAAATGACATCACTGTGCAAATCCATACAAATCCCGATCATGGACACTCTTCATTTTCCTGGCACGAGCTTATGATGATATTGCACCACGCAGCTCTTGATGGGATCATGTGGGGTTGGGAGCCAACCACTTGGCAAGCTTCTCGGAGCCATTCAGGATCGTAAAATCCCGATCCTGGAAAACCTATAAAAGTGTACCATTATAGGGATACATTCGCTACGGAAATTTCCGCCACTAGTTCGCCTACAACAGTATCCTTTCCCCGTTTCCTGTCACAGTGTACCATTTTTGGTGGAATTGTTAAAATACGACTTTGTTTCGCCTAAGTGGTGATTTGGCCCATGGCTTGCATACATGATCTATCTAATTAGCGTACAGGTGGCCAAAGATTTGATTTAAATCTTTGATGGGAACCAGCCACGCCAGTCGTCGGGCAATTGGACGCCCGTCCCCCCATACAGGTAGTGAAGAACATCAGACATCCGTGCATCCCTCCACAAGTCGTCCATCGAGTCGAGGCATGGCAAGACATCATTTGGCTTGATCTCGTCGATGGTGGGCACCTTGGCCGGCCAAGCGTTTTGCGAGGGCAGGATTGAATCTGTGTGAAATGGTTTGGATGGGAAAGGTGATCGAATCTCTTTTGCGTTGGGAAAGCAAGCTATGGTTAATGAGATGTCATGCCAGCAAAGACATCCCTGAGGTTCGTGAGACGAAGATGAATACAACATAGTATCTATCAAAAAACACCTTCTCATTGTTTACCAATTTACCTTGTCCTCTGCAATGGTGTTGGGCTTGGACTTCTCTTTCTGAAGCAGCGGCATTGTTCGAGTGAAGCGAATACCAAAGCCCACAGGATAAACCCTGAAAGAGCGTCGGTCAGTCCACATGTCAACTGAAGCATTCAATACTTGAACAGTGCTTTCTTTGTTTTGGTATTCAACACTGAGTCCCACACTGTGATCCCTTCAGCCGAGAATTGCCCTGATACCTCTTCTTTCCATTGGAATCAATGTAGACTGTAGCCAACTGGTTCTTCTTTTTCCCCTTGGCATACTTTTTGTGGGTTGCAAACTTCCTCACCCCACGGGAGTTGCTCCACAGAATCGTCCTCTTAGGAGTATTACTACCCCAGCCACGCATCCAGAAGGCTTGCCGCCAAACCTGAGATCCAGCAGAGGAAATGTGGGGTTTCGCCATGCATTACACTCCACATATATATATATATTTATACACAATATTGTGTGCGAACCACCGTTCTTCATGGTATTATTCCACCGAGGTGCATTTGTCATTTTCAAAAGTTGCTGGAATCTGGGATGGCGATAGGCAAGGGAACTTGATGGCTGTTCTAAGACAAACACCATGCCACGAGATATCATGAGTATCATAGCCAGAACCATCCTGCAGGGGGTTCAACGAGGTGCAAGTTACGACATCTACGACCAATAAGAATAACAATTTAAACATATATACTATAGTGTCGTGTGTCTTGGAACCATGCACTCCTGCTGCAGAGTATATTGCCTAGCTGTACCGACTTTGAAGTGGGGTCTCCCAAAGGGAGAAAGAAGGAGCGGTGAGTGGTGCCGCGGGAGACCGCCACAAAACTCGAACAGACAAGGCCGAATGTGAAGACTGCTGAAGGCTTGGACCTCAATATCGTGGATAGGAGAAGCCTGGGCGGAACAACACAGGGATGATGTTTCCATGTGTAGGTTTTGGGTTGGACTCATCAAGGGAACACATTTCAATTCATTCGTTGTTTAACAGATACAACTGCGCAAAAGGGCAATCAAGTTCATGAAATGAATGAAAGGAACCCAAAGCCGGCTGGAGATGTCAAGTCCAATGCATTCCCCTTGCAAAGCTTGCGCCTACCCATTCTAGTTCTTTCTGCCAACCACGGCGTGAAGTGAAGAATATCCAAGGATGCTGTGGCATAGCCTCCAGCTAGCAGGCATCGGCTGAGGACACCCTTCCCCGCAAAGATCTCAGCAGCATCATAGATCTGCGCATGTCACATGGGAAGATATGGGAAGTGCATGCATGCTTTAAATCACGAATGGGTGACTTTGATTCGGTGGCGCCTCATCCCATTGAAGACCCTCTGTGAAAGCCAGAAGGACCACTGCCATCATCAGGACCTCAACGGAGTAGTACGGAGTAGCCTACAGATTCCTCGCGTTGGGGCCCTAACCTCGAACATTGTTTAGTTGAAATGAACTTGGGGAACTCTCAAGTGTGGGCTGGTAGATGGTCCTGCCAAGGCACTCGGGGGGCGTTCACGAGCAAAAGCTGGCGAAGGAGAAGCATCAGGCGTTCGTGAGGCATCGCCATGACCAGCGCTCGATTTCTACTAATGTAGGTCTTGTTACAACAAGATGCGTGTCGTGTACACCAAGTACGTCCATATGTTCATATTGCTTACTGTTCAAAACCCACAGAGTGCACTCAAGTGAGAAAAATGTTGCACAAAGAAAGGGACTGAAGATCAGCATTCTCAAATCACAGACTTGCTAAAATGACTCGAGATCAAACCCTTCTTTAGATCAGAAAGCCGGCAGCAGAGTTGCACCTTCACGTTGGCGGTTGGAGGTCGAGCGTCGGAATCTGGCCAATTTGCTCATTCGAAACGTAGTCGCCTGGCATGTGAACAACTGCGGGTTCAAAGTATATGCTTTTTCTATGTATACCATATATAGATATATCTGTATACATTGTGTACATATACATATGCAATCACCATATGTATGTACATATACTATTCTACTGCTGCCCTTTGAATACATAGAATCTATAATTACAATAAACATATATATATATATGTTGTATGCATGTATACCACGTGCTGTTGCGGAGACGACAGGTTTGCAAAAGCATTCATTTCTGCGATGATCAACCCTTTCCATTGAAACACTTGCGGTGAAAACCACATGTCCAAGTCAGAGCCCATTTGCTAAGCGCACATCCTGTTGATTTTTGCGGTTGACCCAGATGCGACGGTGTGTGTATATATGTTGACCCTTCCTTTGCAAAGTTCTACTCTATGGATGTGGTGTGCTTGGGCTTCGACAACCCCAACAAATCCACATATATATAGCCGTATAGCAAGGTTCTTCCCTGCTATAGGCACCCAAAACCCACAATTCAAAATCCTCTCCACTCAGAAGCAGCCGAAGTGAGTGCTCCACGCAGGACTTGATGAAATGATCCGCAAGAGTGGGCATACCTTGGGAAGGACCGGCATGAAGCACACCGCATGTACTTATAGACTTGTAAAAGAACACGACTTTCACTGTGCTTGAATGTTTTGCGAAGTGACAACAGGCATTCCAAAACAGGTTGAGAGGCCGTCAAAAAAGGATAAGCATGTTTGTTTGGGTGTCCTTTTGCCCTTGAGGTTTGCATGGGTTCCTTGTTGCTCCTGCATCATAGTTACAATTACATAGTTCGAAACAAGTAGAAAAAAGAGACACACACTCAAACATATATTCTAAAATTTGGTTGATTTGAGAAAGGTTTCCTGGCCACCCACTTGTTGCGCTTGGTCCAGCCATCACACTGCATGCTTTGAGTTTTTGCGGGGTCGCTTTGCTCGCGTCTGCTTTTCTGCAGTCTTGGTACGTTTGGAAGGCCCTTTTTTGGTGGGCTCTTCCGCAGGTGTGCTGCCATGTGCTTCTGGTGCAGGCAGTGCTTGCTGCTGGCTGTAGTAGTATTCCGCATTCCTACCACGGAAGCTGGAACGGCGGCAATTGCTGCAGCCATTGTATATGCAACGGCAATTTGCACAGCCCAAGACTTGCCCAGGCAAAACTCGATACATCCATGACCTGCCCATCTTAATCCGATCTTGGGCTGGGTGTTCAGAGTTATCCGGCTTGCTTGCCCCATCAACCTTGTTGGATGCGGCGGTTGATGATGTCTTGCGCTTTCTACGTGGTTCTGCGGACTTGGCTTTGGATCTGGTATTGGCAGCCTTTCCCTTGGCTCGCTTCCGGGCTGCCGGGTCAGGAACAAAAGTGGGCTCGTCAGTCGATGCACTGGCTTGCTCTACCAAACCCTCGCGGCTCTTACTTTTCTTCAAGATATTGCGCTTTGAGCGCCTCTTGGTGACACGGCCACCTGCACCTGGTGAAGTGTTCTTTTTGCCGGACTTTCCTTTCCCAGGTTTTCGTCCCTTTTTCATGTTACTCTTTTTCGTGGTGCGCATTGCAGACTGCATCATGGGGGTAATTTCCGGTTCTGATTCCTTGGCCTCACCCTTGGCCTCAGCATCGACCCCTGAGCCTTTGCCAGAAGCCGGCTCTACAGTGTTGTTCTGGATCTCGTTGCCCTTGACCTCAACCTCGGCCGGCAAGTTGGCAACCTGCTCAGGTTCCACCTGACGGCGGGGCAAGAATCGATAACCTGACCAATCTTGGTTGACAAATCGCAGAATTCTTAAGACACGATCCCAGCAAACAAATTTTGGCCTTCGGCGGTGTCTCACAAGGTGGTGGATGATGGGCCGCAGGGGGAGTAACGATCTGACCGAAGTCCATTGGCTGGGTCTCAGCCTACAAATGGATCTGTGCATAGGAACTTTCCAGACAAATAGCGAATAATAAGACGATAGAAAACTATAAACAGGATATACGGGCATGGCCCAGCCTCGGAAATGTCGCGCAAAGCAGGACATGGAACAGGTCGACCCTGGCCACCTCAAACCAGCAAAGTAGCTGTCAGAACTGAATGAGAGTGAAAAATCGGCCCAACATGGCTGCGATATACCTTTTCAACAACGGTTTGCGCGCCTTTGGCCAAATCATTCTCCACAGACCTTCGGGATGAGTACTGCGGCAGCAATATTTCGATACTATGTCAAGAGCATGTTTACAAGAGTACCTGGGCGCAGAACTCACGAGAACGACTGGCCAGCCGCATCATGTGAAGTTGATGCAAGACACTGTCCAGTTCCTTCTGCTGCTCCGCAGTCATTGGAACGCTGCATGCCTCGCCCAACACATCAAGTTGCAGTTGACTTTCACCGGGAGAGCCCACCATGGTTGGCTCGTCAGAAGCCTTTGGTGTCACTTCTGAAGCCAAACTTGAAGCTGACCGCTTCTCTCTGTACTGTGGCACATTCCCTGACTTGAGAGTCGGGTCAGGTGATGGAGCAGGTGAAGCAGCCTCAAAGCAATCAGACTCCAACCTGCTAGGAGTCTTGGAAGGATCAAATGCATGCTGAACATCTTCAATGGCCCACTTGGCCCATTGAGTTCGTAGATCCCGGATCTTCTCGAACAACGCCTTGACCTTTTTGTCCTGCAACAACTGATGGAAACACACATGCATGTACCAGGTGGGGAGGGAACATGTAAAGAAAAGCGAACATGCTGGCAACAAAAAACAGCTATATCTTTGACCGCTGCAGTCCCGGGGTCGCTGGTTTCTCTTGGCAGCGTCGTTTTGTCGACGAAATGCAAAGGTATAGAGCTGGCGCAGGTCCCAGGCTGCTATGTAGACTTCGCGTGCTCCAGGCTCATAGTTAACGTCTTCAAACAGTTTCTTCACCTGCATGCATTCTGTGGATGAAATACATGCATGGGTGATGGGTCATATACACATGGACAGCTATAGTAAGCACACCTCAACTCTTTCCTTACTCCCTCAACTCTAGTGGACACTGAAACAAAGACTTCGGCCTCAGGTTTGAGGTCATCAATGCTGATGAACTGGCCATCTAGCTCGTCAACCATCACAGTCAGAACATCAACATTCAACTCCAAAGCTTGTGTGCAAACCGGGTGAGCTGGTTCGATCTCCTCCTCCTGGGTTTCTGCTGGCGCAGATGTAGATGGCCACTGCAAAAAGAACTTTTGCTTCATAAGCCTGTGGCGAATGACCCTGTTGTTTTCCCATGCTGCTGCTAGCTGGCCGGCTGCTGCCATTGCCAATCCAACCCTCAGACTAGTTCGAGTTCAGCGCACACCGCAGAGCCTTTAATAGTTGCATGGTGATGCACAGGTGTTCGCTGCTTCATATGTATATGGCAAAGAAACATGTTAATCCAACATGCCCAAACATGAGCATGGATCAAACATTGCCCGTGGCAGGATTGGCGATTCATTGAGAAGAACATGCCAGCCGTACTGGGCATTGAGAGTGAGGAAATACTTGCTTCCTCCATCCTGCATGCTCAAGAGGTCGATTGAACAAAAATGACGGAACTGTTCTATACTTACCTTCACAGAGACAACCCCTCTTGTCGAAAACGCTACTGTCCCAGTCCTCATCGATCTCTCAGCCGCAGGGTCCGTCGTGCTTCCATGGGCATACAGGATATGGATACAAAGTTGTCATACAAAGTGCAAGCAACTTTCCTACATGGTCTACAGGTTCGTCGTTGGCACCTGTCAACGTGACTTGTTTTGCTTCAGTTTATCTATTGTAGGATGCCACATGCCCTTTGAGCCTTGCTCATGCTGAAGAAAACAGACCTTCAGAGGTGCCTGGGCACGCGGGGAACCTGAAGGCAGCGATGGGAAGTGTCAATATTAGAAAGTGTACGATTTTTGTTGGGTATCTGAGAAAGTGAAGCCAGAAACATGCAACTATTCAAAGTTTACCTTTTAAACAGGCAACTTTCGCGATCCAGGTAGTCTTTTGAAGGCGAACGGTTAGGGAGTTTGTCTGACAGAACTCTGGAAGATCAGCCAAGATTCCATGACCTGCAGCTGTGCCACCAACTCCTGAAAAAGCAAGCATTTGGCAAAACCCATAACATCCCGTAACCCTGGACCCTCGTAAGACCCACCAAACGCTGTGCCACCAACATCCACCAAACCACTCGACCACTCGGTGACCCCGGACGAACACCGGTCTGCGAGCGACCGCGCTTCGGGCACCACCGGTCATTTGGAGTTTCAGGAATGTAGACTGACTGGTGCTTAGCAGGGAATGAGGGAATGGATCCAAAGGAATCTCTATTGGGGGCTCATTCCCTAATTCCCTACTAAGCACCAGAATCCGGATCCTCAAACACATAGGGTTTTGAATGGTTTTGTTCGGGCCCGGACCCCTGCTATGGAGGGTCCGACCCCCTGCCATGGAGAGCCCAAGGATTCTTAGGGAAGAATGACTGTCGACGATCGACATC